GAAAAATGAGCTAAGTCATGTCATTTAGTGTTTATTAACACATGCAGGTCTCTGTGCTTTCAGTAAGGCACCCAAGAATCTTTCAAAGCTGGCTTTGCCAATGCTGTAGAACAGAGCCATTAATTCAGGCAGAGCATCAGCCCAGCACACACAGCAGCAACCAGGGCCTGCCAAAAACCCCCCAATGCCCTCCACAGCTGGGCAGGGGCACCAGGCTCCAGCCCCCACGGGGGTTACACAAAACCTGATCCAACATCAACAGAAACATTCATCTGAATTCAACTCTTCCACCACACAGAAGCAGCTCAGTTGTAAAGGAGGAAAAACTGAAGTGACCAAAGCACCTGAGAAATCCCCATCTTAATGATGGTCCCCAAGTTACAAATGAGATTTGTTATCTTACAGAGAATTATAAAGATTGGAATAAATATTAGCAATCGCCTGTCTAGACAAGGAGCCTGTTCGATGCAATGTGCTGTTCACACCGGTCCAAAAAGCAGATTTCTCCCGAGCCCCCCAGCCTGGCACCTTCCCCGAGGTGCAGCAAACAGCAGGAGGGAGCTGGAGCCAGCCCAAACCTCCTCCCGTTCCACCAAACCAAAATCCCTGCTGCACCTGCAGGAAGCTCCAGCCGTGCAGGCATCCCTCGGATCCTCAGGGATCTGCAGGATGGACAGGCTGCTTTGGAAGGAGAGCACAAATCACCTGGTTTGTCTAAAGGAGCTCTCCTGGCCATCCCTGCACCCCGTTAAACGCAATAACCCCATTAAAACCCAGTAATGCCGCTATTCTGATAGACACGTGCTATGAAATAAGATAAATTTTACAAACAAACCCACGAAGCTCGAGTTTCTTACATTGTGCCTCCAGCCCACAATGCTGGAGAAGGAAACTCTTCACTGCTAAACCAGGGGAGCAGAGAGAGGAGGAAATCAGGAAAAACAGAGAAAGCACACCATATAGGAAATGTCAAATATGTCAAAACATTCATGAATACCAACATCTCCCTCTGCACCATCCCCAGCTGCAGAGGTTACTCAGGGCTAACGCTTGAGCAAGTGCAGATTATGCAGCGCGGGGTTTACTTATACATAAAAAATCAGCTACAGGTGCATCCAAGGTGCTTTTTGCATGCAGCCAGTCCGGGGATTGCTCCCACTCAAGAGAAACCAGGAGGGTAAAAATCACATAAAACATGAATTTGCCAGCTCTGACCACCCGAGCCGTGAATTCCTGCTGGCTGCTCGCGGTGACACACGCCATGAGGATAATTAGGACAAGCACCCAAAGCAACCGGTGCCGATTGCGTTCCCAAAGCCGCAAAGGTTCGCAATCCCACACGGGGCTCCTGCCCGAGGCAATTCATCTGCAGGAAAAACACAAAAGCGCGGCACCTCCTGGTCCCCGAGGCACCGGCGTTTGGTGGCACTCGGGGCTCAACACAGCCAGGACAGCATCACACCGCCCAGACCTTTCCAAAAACACAGCTGGAATTCAATGTCACCACGGGCAGGGGAAGCAGCAAACACGCGGCCTGAATCCACCCTCGGGTTGGAAATCTTGGCCTGTTTGGGGAAATTGTGCCTTGGTGTAACCTCCCCATCCACCCACGCCGGAGGAGGAGGAAGGCGCCCAGCTCTGAGAGGAGTAGAAACCCTGCCCTGCTTCCCTGGGAACACCAGGGTGACTTCCAGACAAAGCACACACACTCCATGCCCACACCTCGGTGCAGCACAGGAGTAACTCCACGGAAAACAGCGCAATTGCATGAGCAAAACAAAAAGTTGGGTTCAAATCAGCCCAGCGGGTTGGTAAGGAACTACAAAACCTGAAATTGCCAGGGAACAAACCAGGATGGGTCTGGCTGCTCCTCACATGAGCCCAGCAGAACGAGCAGTAACAAATTCCAGCAGCAGCACACAGCTAAAATAATTAAGATAGCTATTGATCTGGAATATTGCAAGCCTGGAGAAGTGAAATCTTTTAATAAATCCTCCCATTGATACCACCAGTTAAAAATTATTCCTTCAGCTCCACATTCTGCCTTGAGCTCCCACTCTGAACATTTTTCTCAATGTCTCTATAGAGAGCTCAGCATTTCCTCCCCGCTCCCTCGCTCTCCTGCCTTGCTGGAGCGCGCAGAACGCGGCCAGCAGGAGCCCGGGGAGCGCACAGGCTCCGGCAGCGCTGCCCTCAGAGCCAGCCCCGAGCCCTGGCAGCGATCCCCGGCCGTGCCCACCTGGGTGCCCGTGTCTGTGTCCGGCCGGGCAGCTCCTCCAGCCTCGGCTCCAGCCCTGGCTCCGGGCTCGGCTCCTGCGCGCACCCGCCCAGCGAGCCCCAACCGGGGCAGGAGCGCGCCCGGGGCCGCGGAGTTGGGGGGAACTGCGGGAACAGGAGGTGAGAGGAGGGGGAAAAACCGAGGCAGGTGTGGAATGGCCGCCTGGGAAGGATAAATTGTGCTTTCCCCAGGTGCAGAGGGTTAAACCTGTTAGAAAAGTTACTGCGAAAGACGCTGATGGAAGTGGTGGAAGCAGCTGTTCCTGCGAGGAACTGGGAGCAGCTGGGGATAGTTAGAGGGGATCGAGTTGTTAAATTCTTTCTATAAACAACTTTTTGTCTTTCTTTTGCATTTTAAACCCCTTCTATAGCACAGACATTTACACTTCCATATTTACTGGTGCGTATTTAGGGAATGTCTGTGTCTCTGTACATTTAGGAGGTATCTGTATTCCACGTGCACTGTTAAGGGTAAAGCCACAACTGCTCCAACCCCGTGCCCGTGGCAATCCCAAGCTCCAGACCCGCTCAGGATGAATTAGGCAGCACCGCCTCTGCCCCAGCCCCGCTCCTTGCCCCCCACGGCACCCGCCTGACACCGCACCGACTTTTATTCCCTCTTGCAACTCTTTATTTCAGGAATTTTTCGCCTGACCGAGCCTCAAAGCTCCTTCCCCGGCGAACCGGCTGCTCGGGGCTCGCAGAGCCGCGGATCGCAGAGCCCCGGGACCCCGGGCTGGGGATGGGGTAATGGGAAGGGGATGCGGTACCGGGACAGGGATGCGGTACCGGGACAGGGATGCGGTACCGGGGAGAGGCTGCCCCTCACCCGTGTCCGCGGGGTTTTGGGCACCGCGGGACGTGTAGCACAGAGGAGCAAAACCGATCCCGGCCGTGACCTCCCGCACTCTCCCACGGTCGAATCAGCGGAGCTCGGGTTCCTCCTCCCTCTCCACGCGCGGATCCCGGGGAGCGCATCCCGGTCCCGGGAGCCGCGGGGCTCCGAGCGCGGCGGTGCCGGTCCCGATCCCCCGAGCGTGGTCCCGATACCCCGAACCCAGTCTCGGTGCCAGTCCCGGTCCCTCGAGCCCGGTGCCGGTGCCCGGAGGCTCCCGGAGGAGCTCCTGACCTGACGCCTGGCAGGACACCCGGGTTTGGTGACAGCGCTCCCCGCTGTGCTCCGCGCTGCCCCCCGAGCCCTCCGCCGCCGCGGGGGCAGCTTTGGGAATTCAATTCCTCCATCCAAGATGTTTTCCTGAGGAATTAACCCCCCCCCCCGAGCAAGGGATGCGCTTGAGCAAACGCCGGCGCGGGGGAAGGGAGGGAGAGAGGGATGGATGGAGCGGGACGCGGGGTCCTGCTGCGGGCTCTGGATGCGGCGGGGACCGAGCGTGGTAAAAGCCGGGAAGGGACCAACCTCGGAGCCGCGGCTTTTCCTCCTCTTCCTCCCGCGGAGCCGGCGGCACCGAACGGGAGCGGCCCCGGGATCGGCGCTCCGGGATCGCCGCACGGGCAGAGGCTTTTGTCCCCTGGGTGCGGCGGGGGCTGGCGGAGGAGCTTCGCACTTCGGCAGAAAGGAGACGAAATTCGATTCGTTTACATGTTTTATTGTTGTAAACATTAAAATTGTCTTTCTCAAAGAAAGAGTTCTCGGGAGAAAAAATAATAATAATAATTATAATAATTATAATAATAATAATCCGCGTTTCTAACTGTCGTACACCATATTAAAAAAAGGCAGCGACATTCCCGTGTGCCAAACCGGGGTATACAAAGAAAAATACTACAGAATATGGCAATATTAAAAATATTACTCGAACATAAAATAATATATTAACCGACAATTTTTAGACGTAAAAAAAAAAAAGCAAACGGAACAAAACAAACCAAAAATTCAAAGTGCTCAGTAATTTCCAGGGAGTTATGTATAGTATAAGCACTCTGGAAACAGTCAAAAGCTGCTGCATGCAAGATCTGTTTAGCTTTAGACAACAAAATAATCAAGATATAAACTTCTTCTTTAATCAACATCAACAGTACATACAACACTTACAAACAAGGGGTGTCGGGCGGTGTTTACAAACACTATGTGTCCCTTTGGGGGGGAATTCCGGGGGGTAACACTTGTGCCCACCTATTTTACAATTGAGAAAATGTTCGAAGCTTAGATAACTACCAGTCTTTATAAAAGCTACCAGACTACATAGTGTCTGAAATACTATTTATAGAATATAGACATTACTGAAATAGCAAGTGCCTATAACATTGTCACCCTGGAATCGTCATGCTTCCCTGGTATGGACAGATTGGGTTTTCTTTTTTTTTTTTTTTTAATTCTCTCTTTTTTTTAAACACATTTTGCTTTTCTTTTTGATTTTTTTTTTTAGAATTGTTTTCCACGTTTCATCATAAATAGGCACAGAAGAATTTTTTTATTTTATTTTTTTTTTAAAAGNGCTTAGATAACTACCAGTCTTTATAAAAGCTACCAGACTACATAGTGTCTGAAATACTATTTATAGAATATAGACATTACTGAAATAGCAAGTGCATAAAACAATGTCACCCTGGCCAGGTCGAGCTACTCTTTTTTGGACAGATTAGCATTTTTTTTTTTTTTTTAATTATTCTTTTTTTTTTTCCAAACACATTTAGCTTTTCTTTTTGATTTTTTTTTTTAGAATTGTTTTCCACGTTTCATCATAAATAGGCACAGAAGAATTTTTTTATTTTATTTTTTTTTTAAAAGCCAAACCACATCTGATAAATTTACAAGCCTTCGCCTTCATTAATGCCACGCCACCCACGCAACGTTTGGGGTTTGGGTATATTACAGCTTTCTTTTACAGCAGAAAACTTTAGTCTTTAGGAGGGTGAGACTTGTGGGTCACCTCAAGGCTCGGGTTTGTCACCGCGGGGGTCTGAGCTGCCAGCCTGGCTTGTCTTTCGCACCAGAAGTCCTTAATAATAAACTCATTTAGAAGCCGATAATAAAAAGTTGATACCATGGTATTTGTGTAGTGGTCCATGAGCTGCATCCGTGATGCCCCAGAGCCAAAATGCCCATCGCGTTCTGCCTGCAGGAGTTTGCAACGCTGGCTGGGTGGGAGCTGGCACCCAGGGGTGCTGCTCGGGGCCCAGCTCCCCTTCAGGCAGGTGGAGCTTCTCCTCGGGTCAGTGGAAGCGCACGGGAAGAGTCTTAAAAAGGTAAAGTGTCCAGAAAAAGTTTGTCAATTATTGCTGGCGGTGGCACCAAGTCTTCCAGTTTCAGGTAGAAAATGCGCTGCAGCCCCTGTGTGCAAAGCGTGCGGAGTTCGGGGAGCTTCCCCAAGAGTTTGGACAAATAGTTGGGGCGATTCAGCCCCCCGTTATTGAAAGTCACATGGTCTTTGAGACAATTTACAATCTTGTTCTGAAGCTCTTCCACCCTCTTGGGTTCCTTAAGCCCGTGCCTCTCTGCAAAGAGAAGGGTGCGGGAGGTTATGGCTCTGCCACGGAGACAGGCGGGCGGGGGAGCAGGAGCGGGGACACACTGACCTGTCACCATGGCCAGGGCAGCGATGCAAGAGAAGGCAGAGATGTCAATGTTCATGTTTTGCAAGTTGGAGGAAAATTCCACGATGGAATCGATCCACTCCCCAAAGCCACGGATGCACTGCAACCGGTGCAGGACCACCCCGTTGCAGAAGATCAGCTTCCCCTCCACGGGGTTGGACCTGGAAGGAAGGGGACAACCCCAGAATGAACTGATGGATGGATGAGAGAGGGAGGAAAATTAGATAGAAAGAGAAAACAGAGGAAAAGAGAGAGAAAGACCAAAGAGAAAAGAGAGAATGAGTGAAAGGAAGAAAGCGAGAAAGACAAGGAGGGAGAGAAAGATAAATAGAGAAGAGGGAATGAAAGAGAAAAAAAGAACAAGAGAACAGGAAAGAAATAAAAAAAATAAGAAGAAAGGAGATGATGGGGGAGAAAATCTAAACAACTAATTACTTGAGGAGCAATAAATGAAGGATTTAAGAGGCACCTAATTACCGAGGAGTTAATAAAATGCAGAGCAGTGGACCTTGAAGGGGTCTGATTCGCTGCCCCGACCCCGCTCACCTGTACGCCAGCCGCAGCACGAACAGCTCCAGGAAGGCGGACTCGAAGAGCAGGTCCTGGTCGGTTTTGGGGAGGTCAGTGAAGCCGGGGATTTTTTCCGCCCACCCTCGGATGATCTCCATGGAGCCGGTCAGGAGATCGTAGAACTGCTGGATGTGCTGGGTGTCGTCACCGCTCAGCTGGTAGTCGGGGTTAGCCTGGAACTGGAAATTCATTTTAAAAAGCACTTAATGAGGTTCTCTAAAGTCTATAACCCGTGAAATTGCTCACCCCGTCCCTGGCCGGGGAGCGGGCTGGGATAACAATTAAAGCTCTCTCTGACCGGTGAGGAAATTAGATGTTCCGGGGCAATTAATTCGATTAGGAACGGCGCTGTCCGTGCGCGGGGGGCCCGATCCCGGGGCGGCGCCGGCGGGGCCGAGCCGAGCCGAGCCCCCCGGTACCGGGCAGGGCTGGGCAGGGCCGGGCCGAGCCCCCGGTGCCGGGCAGGGCTGGGCAGGGCTGGGCCGAGCCCCCGGCCCCGGCCTCGCCTCTCCCCCCGCAGCGGCCGCGGGGACCCTCCGCGAGCTCGGTGCCGCTTACCCGGGAATAGTCCAGGCTGGTCATAGCCGGGTTGGAGTCGACATGGGCTCTCACCAGCGCACTGATCAGACTCACCGGGGGAGAGGGGGGAGAGGGCTCCTGGGGGCTCTTCGGTTTGGACGGCAAGCGGCCCCGCCGGCCTTTTAGGCTGTCTGTGCGCACCACTGCAAGAGAGAGCCGTCAACCCGGCGCCGCGGGACACGCGGACAGACAGACAGACACACAGACAGACACAGAGACACGCGGACGGACAGACAGACACGCGACGGACACACACACACACAGCACTCACCCTCCTTGACCATGCCGACGGCCAGGCACTTCTGGAAGCGGCAGTACTGGCAGCGGTTGCGGCGGCGTTTGTCCACGGGGCAGTTCTTGTTGGCCAGGCACACGTACTTGGCGTTCTTCTGCACCGTGCGCTGCGGGCCGGCCGCGGAGTCAGCACCGCACCCGCACCGCCGCTCCCCGCGCCCGCCCGCATCTCCTTCTACCTCCTTTCCCCTGGATTTTCCTTTGCCTTTCCCCCCCTTTATCTTCTTCACCGTTTTTCCGCCTTGTTTTCTTCCCTTTCCCCTTCGTTTTCTGTTCCCGCTTTCATTTTTCCCCCTCTATTTTCTTCTCCCTTTTTTATCTTTACTTCTCTATTTTACCTTTATATCCCTTCCCCTTTTTTCCCTTTAATCTCTTCTCCCTTTTAAATTTTCTTTTCTATTACTTCCTTTTTCTTCTTCTACCTTTAAAGATTTATTTTCTTTTCCTGTATTGCTTTTACCCTTTTCCCTCTTTATTTCCTTTTTCCCTTAATTTAGTTCCCCTTTTATTTCCTTTTCCTTCCCCCCCTTTCCTTTTTTTTTTTTTTTTTTCCCAGGGCATTTAACAGGAGAAAATTGACAGCGTTAACATCCAAGCTAACCTCGCAGCTCCTAGCCGTGTTTTATATGCCAAGAGGAGGGAAAGAGACGCTCGGTAAATACAAATCCGTGGGCATTCATATTATTTACATTCCTTGGAGACCTTCTCTATTTAAAATGATAAGATTATTCAATCAGGATGGTGAAATAAAGAGATCACTTAATTTTACCACAGGGAATTCTGTTCCACACGGTTAGCTCAGACGCGGTTCTCTGTCCTAACCGATTTCCATCTGCGGGCTCGGCGCCCCGCAGGGTCCCCCCCGCTGCCCTCCTGCCCCCTCTGCCCGCTGCCCCCCCGGGCCCCGCTCACCTTGAAGAAGCCCTTGCAGCCCTCGCAGGTGCGCACGCCGTAGTGCTGGCAGGCCGCGTTGTCCCCGCACACGGCGCACAGCCCCTCGTTGGACGGGGAGCCGCGGGACGGCGGCGATGGCACCTGGCTGTCCAGCAGCTGCGGAGCGTGGCCCAGCTGCAGCCCGGGGAAGGCCATGGACGGCTGCTTGCGGATGGGGTTGGGCACGGCGAAGGGCTGCCCGTCCACGCCGTGGTGCGGCCCGGCGGGCTCGGGGTTCATGGGGACGTGCAGGGGGCCGTCGAAGCGCATCTGGCAGCTGGACACGGGCGTGCCGGGGGGAGACTGCTTGAAGGAGAACAGGGACAGGCGGGACACGGGCGTTTTGCGCTGCTCGATCATGTGCGTGGTGGCCACGTAGTTGGGGTGGAAGTTGTGCAGGGAGCCGGGGTCGTCCCACACGGGGCCGTGCTGCACCTGGAAGCCGGGCGTGGAGGGGGTCGGGGGCGACGAGGGCTTGTAGTAGACGGAGCCCGAGTGGGACATCATCTCCTCGGACTGGGGGGGCAGGTGGCCGTGCTGCTGGTAGCCGTGCATCTGAATGTCTTCCACCTTAATGGAGGACTGCTGTCCGGACAGGGGCATTTGGTACAAGCAGGGGGGCTTCACGTCGTAGCTCGTGTTGTAGTTGTCCATAAAGGTACTGAAGCTGGGGAGAGAAGTGGTGGCGGTGATTTCGGTGTTGGTGAGGTCCATGCTAAACTTGACGAACTCCGGAGTTAGGAAATCGGAGCTGTATTCTCCCGAGGAGTGGTAGCTGTAGCTCTGGGAGGCCGGGCTGGCTCCTTGAGGCGAGGACCCATACTGAGCCTGAACGCAGGGCATGGCTGCAAACGAAACAGCGTCAGGTAGACTCGGCCCGCGCCCCCCGCACCGCCCCGCGCCGGGCACCGGCGGCTGCGGGGCCGAGCGCCGGGACCCCCCTGCCCCGCCGGGGCTGCCGAGCCGCGGGGACGGAGCGCACCAACCTTCAGCCGAGGGAGCGGCGTTTTCGGGGCAGCCGAGGGCGGACAGCGTCGGAGCGCGGCGGCGAGCGAGGGGTCCGCGGGTTCAGAGCGCGGCGGCGGCTCCAGCTCCAGCCTGCCCGGCGCGACGGCTGCGGGAGACACGCGGAGCCGCCGGTGAGCGGACGGACAGGCGGACACACGGACCCGCCGATCGGGGAGCGGACGGACAGACCGACACGCGGAGCCGGACCCGCCGGCGAGCGGACGGACAGACCGACCCGCCGACACACGGACCCGGACACAAGAACACACGGACCTGCCGATCGGGGAGCGAACGGACGGACACACTGACAGACGGACCCGGACACAGCGACACACGGACCCTTCGGGGAGCGGACGGACACAGCGACACGCGGACTCGCTGATCGGGGAGCGGACGGACACACGGACACAGCGACACGCGGACCCGCCGATCGGGCAGCAGGGGCGGAGGGCTGACACACAACCCCACTGATGCGGGGACAGACACACGGACCCGCGGCGGGGAACAGACACACGGACCCGCCGGTCAGGCAGCCCAGGCGGGGACCTGACACACGGACGCGGCGGTGCGGGGACAGACACACGGAGCCAGCGGTGCGGGGACAGACACACGGACGGACGCGCTGGTGGAGGGACAGACACACGGAGCCGGCGGCGCGGTGCCCGGTTCCGGGGGAGCCCCGCCTGCGGACCGCACGGGCTGCGGGAGCGGTGCCGGGGCAGGGCCACCCGCGCCCGTCGAGGAGCAGGTTTGGGTTCGGTTCGGGTTATTTCCTCGGTAACGGGCGGGCTGTCACCGGCACCGCCTGCCACGTTCTCTTCTCCGTGCCCTTCGGGAAGCAGCGGCGCGTCCCCCGGGAGAGCGGGCGAGGCGCGGGGCTCCCGGCGCGGCGGTGCCGGTACCGGTGCCGGTACCGGAGCGCGGCGCGGGTGACAGCCAGCCCGGACGGACCCGGCTCAGCGGGCGACACTGACCCTCAGACAGCGCGACCCGTCCCGTCCGGGGATCCCGAGCGGGACCCGCCAGCAGGTGAGGTGGGACGGGACGGGACGGGGGGCGCACCCCGCGCCTCGCGCGCGGGACCCCGCGTCGGGAGGGGGCCGCGGGAGGCGGGACCGGCCGGGCACTCACCGGGGAGCGGAGCGCGGGGCGCGCATCCAGGAGCGGGCGGAGCGGCGGCGGCGGCGGCGGCGCGGGCGGCCGGACTGTGCCCGCCCGCAATGTGCCTTTGTTTATGTGGCCGCGGCCGCCGCCGACCAACGTGCGCCGCGAGCCCCCGCGCGTCACCGCGCGTCAGCGCCGCCGGCCAATCAGCGCCGCCGCGGGCCCGCCCCGGACACGCCCCCTCCCCGCGCGCCCTTTCGGTAAGTTTCCGAGCGCTGACGTCACGCGAGGGGGGTGGGGGGCGGGGTCTCATTTGCATAGAGGGCGGTGCCGCCCCCGCCCCCCCGCGCGCGTCACCGTGACGTGAAACCCGGAATAGCGCGCGCGGCCGCGACCCCGGCGGGGACTGAGCCGGGACTGGGACTGAGCTGGGATTAACTAGAGACAGAACTGGGACTGGGACAGAGCCGGGACTGGGACAGGGCTGGGATTAACTAGAGACAGAGCCGGGACTGGGACTGAGCTGGGATTAACTAGAGACAGAGCCGGGACTGGGACAGAGCCGGGACTGGGACAGAGCCGGGACTGGGACAGAGCTGGGTTTAGAACAGAGCCGGGCCTGACAGGGCCGGGTCTGGGACAGAGCTGGGTCTGGGGTTAGAGCCGGGTCTAGGATGGAGCTGGGCCCCGCTTCCACTGCCCATTCGGAATTTAACGGGATTTTAGTATATTTTATTTTATAAATATTTCATTTTATAGTATATAATTTTATTTTATTAATTTTGATTTTATTATTAACTTTATATGTTGTATTGATTCTACTTTTATTTTTGATTGATTTATTGCAATATTTTTAATTTGAGTTATTTCTGCTTATTTTTTTATTTCTCATTAATTTTATTATTTCCTATTTTTTTTTACTTTGTTTATTTCATTGCTTAATTTAATTCATTATTTTGGGGGCTTTTTAAAAATTTTATTTAGCTTTTTTTGTTTCGTTTATTCAATTTTCTTATTTTTATGTATTTCAGATTTATTTATTTAAAATTCCTTTATTTACTTATTTAAATGGCTGACGTTTATTTATTTAAATGCACATTGGGGGTTGGGATTTTTTATTATTTTATTTAATTTTATCAGTCCCCAGAGCCCCCCCTCCCAGTTTCCATCATTCCCAGGTCGGTGTGACTGGGAAGGGACGCAGAGCGGAGCTGGGGCAGTGCAATTAAAGGCGCTGTGTTAATTAAAATCCGGATCTCGGCTCCCAGCTGCGTCCGGCCGTGATGGAGATGAGGATGAGGATGAGGATGAGGAGGGAGGGGAGGGGACACGGCCACAGCCTTGGTGGGGTGGCCACGTCCCCCTCAGCCCGGGGACAGCTCGGGGACAGCTCCAGGAATCTCCTGGGACTTCTGTGGGATGGAGCTCCCAGCCCGGGATTAAAGCCCTGAGCCTCCCAAAGCCCGGCCTCCCTAAACCCGGCCTCCCAAAGCCCAGCCCCGCTGGGATTACAGACACTTCCTGGGAAATCGATGGTTGCTCCTCTCCCCGGGGTCACCATCGCTCCCACCCCATAAACACCTCCCAAACTGATCCCATCCCATAAACACCTCCCAAACTGATCCCCCCCACTGACACCTCCCAGACTGATCCCGCCCCCCAGAGCAGCCCCACACTGAGCCCCCCTGATCCTACAGAGCTGCTCCTGGCCTTACCCAGCAGCGTGAGACATAAAGGAGAGCCCCAAGGCTGTGACACCACTGAGGGATGCCCAGGATGGAATTTCTGGGGTTTTGGGATGTCCAGGATGGCATTTCTGGGGTTGTCCCCATGGTCCTGCCTGGAAAGACTGACCTGGAACAGACACTAGACAGAGCAAAAGGAATAAAATAGGAATTTATTGAAAGGATAAAATAGGAATTTATTGAAAGGAATAAAATAGGAATTTATTGAAAGGATTCACCTTGGGCAGTGCAAGAGCCCGGCCAGGGCTGCACCCAAATCAAATCCCAGATGGATCCTGGTCACGAGTTTTACACTTTTATAAGTTTTGGTTCATATTTCGGTTCATTATCCAAGCACAGCCCCAGGCTATGAAGTCTCAGCCCCCTTTTCCCTCGTTGTTGTTTCTGATTTTGGGTCCCAGTTGTCCTTGATTCTCTATCTAGGAAGGAATTGTTTTGTCCACCCACCCTGTGGAGAGACCTTACTAACACCTAACTAACACCTTACTAACACCTAACATGAAGTTCCAGAGTTACACACGAAGCAGCAGAGATTCTGACAAATATAAAATAGAAAAGCTAAAACCCAAGGCACCAGTGGGGTTCACCCAAAGGAGGAGCTCGCCCAGCTGCCCTCAGCATCAGCCACATCCCAACAGCCCAACCACACCAACATCCAGCCCAGGCCCTTCTAGGGCTAAGTGAAACATCTAATTACCATATCCTTAGAATAGATGTAATATAAATTTCATTACTCACTTAAAAGTTCTAAAGTTAACAGCATAAACTTGAAGTTGAGTAATTAAGTAATCCTTATATAGACACTTATTAAAGTATTTATACATATTATCTTAAATCTACATCTATCATTTTGCCAATTAAAATTAGGACTTTAATTGCAATTAAGTAATTTAATTGCCAATTGAACAGCAAAATTGCTAAGTGACTAATTTTAATGCCTATTTTAATTACCAATCATGACTGGGGAGGGAGCTAATCAAGCAGTATCAGAGTAATGATGTGAAAAAAAGCGGAGAACAAACATTCCAGACTCCATGCTTTTTAAAAAGAACTCCAAATTAAATAACTGCAAACACAATTCCAGACATGGGGAAATGCTGGGTTTGGGTGAGTGCACACAGGAGCACAAAGAGCACGATGTTTAATTGCAGACACCCAGGCTCTTCCCCCAGTGCTGATCGTGGGGGGCTCTGTGTCCCCGTGCTGTCCCCTGGGAGCGGGCTGGGACCCGGGACAGCGCCTCGCTCCCAGGAGGGGCTCCTGCAGGAACCCTGAAAGCGCAATTCTGGGAATTAATGATGCTCCAAACTGCGGGCAATGGGGCAGGTGGGCAGGGGCACAAGCCCTGCTGGGTTTGCACTGCCCGTAGGGGAAGCCCGTCCCCACACACCCATTCCCAAAAGTGCAATCCCATCTTCCTGGCAGGCTCCAGGTGCCACGAGGGACATTTTCCAGCCCACGGCTCCTGCGGGGTCAGGCCAGCCCAGCTGGTCCCACAGGCCATGCTCTGCAACCCAGCCGTGAGTGCAACTGCATCTGCTGCTCCCATTGCCAAAAAAACCCAAAATCCGTGTCAGTCCTGCCTGCTGCTGACATTTCCGATAAAAACCCCAAAATCCGTGTTAGTCCTGGCTGCTGCTGACACTTCCCATAAAAGCCCCAAAATCCGTGTCAGTCCCGGCTGTGGTTCCCGAGGAAGGGAAGCCGGGTGTTGTTCAGGATGAGGAAGCCCCAGAGCTCCTGAGCGGCTGCTGGGGCTGTTCCTCTGTCCTCTGTAGGAAGAGCAATGGGATCACAGCCCCATGGGGAGGATTTCATCCTCACAGCCCCAGGGCGGCTCAGGGGGGGCTGCACTGGGCATGGGGCAGCTCTTGGGGTGCACCGTGAGAACTGGGGGAGCTCTGTGAGCACTTGGGGTGCACTGTGAGCACTGTGAGCTCTGTGAGCACTGGGGGAGCACTGGCAGCTCTTGGGGTCCACTGTGAG